CAATTGCAAGTCATGTCATCATCTTCCTGATGTCACTGTGCTCTTCGAGAACAAAAGACAAACCATACATACCACAAAATTTAGCCACTTGTCCCATCCCTTGCCAAAATTAAACACAGTATTACTTCCATCAACACCTCCCTGAGCTTTCCCCCACGCACACCCCTACGCTCCCACTGCCAGAAACCACTGAAATCAATTTAAACAAAATGTCTAATCTCAACTGTTATTTGTCCTTCATTGTCCAAGAGGACCATAACTTCAGGAAGATGATGCCATGACTTACCAGTGAATTGGATTTAAGTGAGGGAGGGCTGTGCAAAGTCACCAGCCTCACTTTCTCCTCCAGAGCCATCTGGGTCCAGTGTCCAGATTATAGATAAGGATGACTGGAGACAGCCCCCTAATCTCAACTGGCCCCTCACTGAATGGTAATCCTTTTTGACTCCCTAATTTTCCATAGGTCTCCCAACAGCAGCTATTCCAAACCTTTCTCCCCACTCTCCTACTTGGTAATATCATCAGCTCCGATGGATTTAATTACCATCTCTATGCTGATGAATCTCAAATCTACTTATCCTGACCCAGACTCTCTGCTGACTTCCAATTTTGCATCTCCAGCCACCTTTCAGACATCTTAAATTCAATATATCCAAAATAGAACATTATCTTTCCCCCTACTTCCCCCAAATTTTCCTTATTACCACTATTCCAATCTCTGAAACTCATAACCTAAGAGTTATCCTCGATTCCTCTTTCTCTCACCCCTTTTCATCAAAGCTGTTGCCAAGTGCTGCTAATTTCACCTTTGTAACATCTCCCAAATAAGCCCCCTTCTCTCCTCTGACACTGCCACCACTCTGGTACAGGCCCTCAGTACTCCACACCTGGATTATTGCAGTAACCTTCTGCTGTTCTGCCTGCCTCAAGTCTCTCTGGACTCCAATCCATCTTCCATTCAGCCACTAAAGTGATTTTCCTACATCACAGGTCCATGCCATGGCCCCCACTCAATAAACTCCAGTGACTTCCTGTTGCCTCCAGGATCAAATATAAAATGCTCTGATATTCAAAGTTCTTCATAACCCAGCCCCTCCTACCTCTTCTTATGCCTTACTTTGGTATATATGGACCCCCTACCTTGTAAATCTCAGCTGGAATAAATCAGCACCAGGTGCTTTGCCACAGGAAAGGATCCTAATGGCATTCAAAACCTTCTCTTCACTTGGAATTTCATCTAGGGAGGAACTGATTTCAACCTGAGGTAAATGGTCAGTGGCCTCAGCATTGATTGATGATGGTCTGTTGAGAACACTATGGAAGTATTAAATCCATCTCTCTAGGTTCATATCCTTATCATTAATCAATGTGGCTCAATCAGCACTGAGTAGTTGAGATGCACCATAGATCAAGAGCACAACTCCGATGGGCTGGCCACATTGTTTCAATGCAAAACAATTGTGCCAATTTTGGNGATGCACCATAGATCAAGAGCACAACTCCGATGGGCTGGCCACATTGTTTCAATGCAAAACCTACACTTGCCAAAAAGACTATTTTATGGAGAACTCACACAGGGCAAATTATTCGCATGGTCGTCAAAAGTGATACAAGAACACTTTCAAGGTCTCTCTTAAAAACTTTGGAGTTGATTGTGTGACATGGGAGACACTGGCACAGGACAGCTCAACATGGCATGCCCACATCAAAGAAGCTGCTGTGCTTTATGAGCAAAGCAGAATCGAAGTAGCTCAAAGGAAATGCAGGATGTGAAAATTTAGAGACTCACCCCAAATGTTCACACAGACTATTTGTGCCCAACCTACAGTAGAGCATTCTGACCTCGTATTGGTCTGATCAGCCACAGACACACTGAAACTTGTCATAGTGATGTCATTTTGGTCTTCTTCGAGAACAAAGGACAACAACCAACCAAATATGCTAAGCACTGGGGATAAAAAGAAAGGTAAAATCACAGTCCCTGCTCTCAAGTTCATGTTCCAATGGAGGAGACAGCTTGCAAAAAAGCATACATACTACACATACACATGCATATACACACATATATACACAGTGTTAAGTGGAAAGTATCTGAGGGGAAGGGCTAGCCACAGAGAAGAGAAGGGAAGGGAAGGGAGGAAAGATGGGGAAGGACTTCTTCATAAGATGGGATTTGAGCTGAATCCTGAAGGATGCTAGAGAAGCTAGGAGGCAGAAGTGTAGAGGGAGAGCATTCCAGGCATGGAGGAGCTAGAATATCGAGTACAGAACAATAAGCGTAGCTAAATTGAAGAGTGTGTGGAGAGAAGTAAGTGTAACAAACTGAAAGTAGGAAGGGGCCAGGCTGTGAATAGCTTTATTTGCCAAGTGATTTTATATTTGATACTGGAGGAGTTAATAGGAAGACCCTGGATTTTATGGGGCACATTTAGGGCTCATATAGTCAGACCTACACTTTAGAAAAATTATTTTATTGGCTGAGTGGAGAGATTGATCATCACTATCAAAGACTGCAAAGAGGTCAAGAAGGATGAGGATTAAGGAAAGGTTTGGCAGTTAAGAGATCATTGCTATCTTTGGAAAGAGCAATTTCAGTTGAATTAAGAGGTCAGAAGCTACTAGACTACAGAGGATTTGGAAGCAAGTGAAAGTAGTCACCCTCTGCTACTCATACTTCTTGACCCAAATTATCTATCTAGGTACCAAATCTTGTCAATTCTGTTTTCATAACATCTCCCCCACCAGTCCTATTCTCTCTACTTATCACCTTTCACCCCAGTACTACAATAGCTTCCTCAATGGATTCCCTGACTCTTCTCTCCTCTTTCTACTCTATCCTTCACACAGATGCCAAAGTAATTTTCCTAAAGCACAAGGGTCTGACCAGGTCACTCCCCTCAAAAAGCTCCAGTGGTTTCTTATTACCTCTAGGATAAAATGCAATCCTTGACAATCTAGTTCCAACCTATTTGTCTAACCTTATCATACGTAGATCACTGTCACACATCCTTTGGTCTAGCCAAAATAACCTTCTTGCTATTCATCACAGAATATTCCATCTTTCATCTCCTTACCTTTGCAGAGGGTAGCTGTACCCTGATTGAAATAACCACTTCCCTTCTGCCCCTCAACATCCCTAGTTTGCTTCGAAACTCAGGTCTGGAGTCAGAAAGATCTGAGTTCAAATATGGCCTCACGCTAGCTGTGTGACCCTGGCAAGTTACTTCAGTTTCATCAATTGAAAAAATTGGCATAATTGAAGGTACCTATCTGGCAGAGTCATTATGAGGGTCACATAAAATATTTGTAAAGCACTTAGGACAGTGCCTAGCACATAGTAGGTGACTTATAAATGCTTATCCCTTCCCCACTTCAAGCTCAGTTCAAAAGCCTCCTCATAGATGATGCCTTTCCTAAGCTGCTTTATATATCCACCACCACCACCTCCCTCCAAAAAATTTATAACCTGCTATTTATTTAACAAACATTTATTTATGTGGTCATAGTTATAGAGCTAAGTTAAAAGCTAGACCTCAGAGGCCATACAACCCTCTCATTTGACAGAATAATTTGCCTAAAGTTACATGGGAATTTGAATGTAGGCCTCACTTATCATACCACACTGCCTCCAAATGTGTCATTTGCCCTGACAGAATGGCAGCTTCTCAAAGGCAAAAACTATTTAATTTCTGTCTTGGATCTCCAGTGCCCAGGATAGTACCTGGCACATTAGTCAATTCTTGTTAATTATCAGAACCATTAGTGTGCTGTTTGTATTTTAAAGTCAAACTTTGATCATAATTTCTTGCAACAGATTTCATAAGACCTAGAGCTGGTCACTTTAGAGAGCATCTCTTCCAATCCCTTCATTTCACAGAAGAGCAAACAAACACAGGGATGTTAAGTGCCCTACCTAAGATCACCCCTAGGATAACACCAAGCCCAGTGCTCTTTCCACAACACTCCACTGACCTAACCTCCAAGCTCCCCGATGAAACTTAGTCATTTTCTACTCATATTAGGTATGAATGGAGAAAGACTAAAAATTGCTTTAGAACCTCAAGCTTTACAATGATTTCTTACATCACAAGGTGGGCATGGGGAAAGAATTTTGTAAACCTTAAATTATTATGAAAAACTGTTATAGCTGGTGAGCTTTTTATAGCTAGGACAAAGTCACTGAAAAGTATCTGCTTAAAATTTGCAATTCATATAGGAATATTAATTTCATTCATCAAAATTTCTTCACCTAACATCTATAATAATGTAAACATTGCAATATAAGTAAGGTTTGTTTGATAAAGAGCAAGAACATGACCTGCTTCCTTTGATCATACTGTTTTGCCTAGTGTATTAGGGAGACAACATAGTATAAGAGACTGAGTATTCAATTTGGGAGTTAGAAGATCTGATTTTCAGTCCTGGCTCTAAAGCTTATTAGCTATGATGATGGTCAAGCCCCTAAACCTCTGGGGGCTTTAGTGTCCTTACCCATAAAAACTTGTCAGGGCCACATAAGACTGCAGAGATTAGAGATTTGTAAAGTGCTATGTAAATGTGAACTATTATCCTGTTATCAGGTTCTAACCTGATCCCTCCCTGGGGCATGAAGATGCCAATGGGACCCAAAGGCCAGGCCAGCAGAATACAGGCTCTGGCAAGGCCTCTCAAGCTGAAAGGTCCTGCATGGGCTGAGCACGAGAGCATCAGCTAAGCTAAGGTAAGAGAAGCTCATTAGCAGAAGACTGGCCAACAGGGAGTGAACATTTTTAGCCATTGCTAAATCTGTCTAGTGAAGTATAAAAAGTTTGACATCTGTTAGTGGAATCTCCATGCTTAACAAAAATCAAATGCAAGCATTACATTATAAGCAGTTATAGATTGATTTTTAAATACTTCCTTTGGGATAAGAAGGGATAGGAGTGAAAAACAGCTATAAAATGTAGTTATTTTTATAAAAAGTGCTTATAGTTTTTTGCCAAAGGAAAAACAGTCCAAAGTGACATTTTTGATAATTTTAATGGGCACTTTATTGCATCTTATTAGGTAGGTATAATAATCATGTCAATAGGACTATTCCTGTAGTGTTAATTGTAGAGGCAGAAGAATAAGGAGAGAACTGGGAGAGGAATTGGGGGCAGAGGGGTATTGTTTGATAACTCACAGCCATATGGTACCTAGGAACCACTGTATACCCTATCCTGTAATGAAACAAAAATAAGTTAATACTATTCATTAGGAAGGAAGGATTATTTTGAGTCCCTGCTGTGGAAGCCCCACCCCAAAGGCCTAGGTAGCATCATGAAAACCTAGCACATCAGCTTTTAGATGGCAGACTAACCCTCATTGGTCCTCCTCAGCTGAGCACATTCAGAACCTCAAACATTCCTTTAACTCCCAAATATATCTGCTGACCCTTGTTATGCTTCATGCACATCTACATTCCTTCTACAGGAAGAGGACACAGGGCTAGCTATTTGAAATATGTTCTGAATGGGAGAGCATGAATGTCAAATTTCAGCACTCAATTGGTAGTCTGTTGTTGAAAGCTCAGTTTGGCGGTACAGGATAAATTATATGGTTCTTCCTGGACATTCTTCCGGGGCCCCCAAACATCCACTTGGCCCCACTGTAACAAGCACATTCATTAAGTCTCTCTTGCATCCAAATCCAGGGGATTTGGACTATAAAAGTCACAGAAGAATACATCCTCTAGCTTATTCTGTTCCCAGGTTATAGGAAGGGCTCCAAGATGGGTCAAGTGTCAATGACTCTGGCATAGGAAATCATGCAGAGGCAAGGCCAAGGCCCCTGACAAAGAGATCCCCAAGGTATCTGCTATGCAGGCAGTTGCCATGGCAAATTCCCGGTGCTCATCCTGGGTCTAGGAGCAAAGGAGAGGTCAGTTAAAAGAATTCCCATTTTCTCCTCCTCCTCCCCCATTATTGCTTTATCCTCCCCTTCATAGGGTTAGGGACTAGCTACTTCAGACTCACACAAAACTAAGGAGCAGTACCTGACCACATGATAAATCAGACTATAAGACCTTGTACACTCAGTCCCTTACACTCTAGTCGTCTATTTCCTCCCCCTCCCCGTGATCCCCACCCCATTCCTGCTGACCTCAACTGCAACTCGGTGGAAGGTGTTTACATAGGCAGCCCCACCCAAGCAGCCCTCATACAAAATGATCAGGAAAACAAGGTAGATGCTGGGAAGGAAACTGAACCACACTTCAGCCATCAGGAAGCCCAGATTCAAGAACTAGTGGAGAAAAAGAACTGGATGTCAGTAACAGAATCAGTTAGTGGGGAAGGGCATAACCCTCAAAGTGGAAGGGATAGAGTCTATGGGTGAGGCCTTTTGATTGAGTCCAAGCTTTACAAAACAAATCCTTGTATTAAGGGGATTTGTTCTGTGAAGTTTGTATTCAGTCAAAGGGCCAAACTTGAACAATTAGAGGGCCACATGTGGCATTGAGGCCAAAGGTCCCCCATCCCTGGGATAGCCTAATAATGAACTTCAATAGGATTCTCAGAGCTAGAAAAAAGGGAAAAAAAAAAAAAAGCTAAACCAAAGAAACTCTTCGTTGATACCAATCTCACAATTACGGCACACTTTGTAAACCTTAAAGCACTACTCTTCCCACAACAACCCTCTGATGTGGGTAATACAAGGGTTATGCTCCCCATTTATAAGATGAATAAAAAGGCAGAGGTTACATGACTTTCCCTATGGGTCCATAGCAAGTAACTAGCATAGCTGGTATCCTGAATTGAAGTCCAGGGCTCTCTTCATTACAACACCCAAAGTTAGCCTAAGGCTCAGGTTCCCTGTTTTCCACCAGCAAGTGTCTCGAGGAGTCAAGTGAATGATAAATGTGCTGGGGACTTGTAAACAAAGGAAGGATGAAGGAACAGAGGGATTTCAAAAGAGATCTGGGAACTGTACCTGAAGCACTGCCAATAGCCAAATGAAACGGAAGTGGCAGCAACGGAGAGAGGATCTGGAGACAAAGACTCCAACTTGGTATAACATCTGGTACCTGTGAAGAACTGAGTGGTCAGAGGGGTTCCCCTTCTATCTGAAAAGCCCTGTTCTCAGAGGAACCTGCCCCCTTCAGTCACCCTCCCCCCACTTCTATTCTCACCATCGGTACTGCTGGGCATGGTTCAGAGATGTGTTTCTGAAGAAAAGGAGCTCAAACTAGGTAGAGAAGTAGATTAAAGGGAGTTATGAATGCCTCCTCTTTACTCCTTTATCCCAACCCTCAGTTATTAATCCTCACACTCCCTTTTCCTGATTTCCCTCCCCAACATCTTCTTACTCACCAGCCCCTGGTTGATGAAATATTCAGCAAAATAAACCAGAGTCAAGGGGACGATGTATTTCAGGAGACCCTGGAAGGTTCAGAGGTTAAGAGGATGAGCTTTTGATGCAAAGTTAGATTCAGCTCTAGGCCTGACAGTTGTCCGGCCAGACACTAGAACAATAACCCCCATTACTGATCCATTGCCTTACCTACCCCCAAATCATAAGTAGTATCACTTTACCCCTATCCTGTTTCCCCATACCTTAAAGACATTCCACCTGTCACTGAAAGAGAGGCTCTGGTTGAAGTTGGGGTCTGCTGGGAAAAGAGGAGTGAATTAGAAAGAATTTCATCCTTTACCCTCTTGATGAGAAGGCCCAGGAGAAGAGGCCCACAGACAAGCAGGGAACTGTCAGAACTGCCACGGTCAATTTGAACTATATATTTTTTAAAAACCTGAGACATACATGGTAGAGGAAGAAAAGGCAAAATGTACAAAACAAAATTCGCCAGTTTCATATACAATTCCCTTTTTTGGTTTTTCAAAGCACATTGAAATGTTTACATTTGTTAAAGTTTATTAGTAATAAAAAATGTATTTTTAAAAAGGAGGTCTAAAGGGATCATAGATTTAGGGCTAAAAGGGACCTCAGAGGTCATCTATTCTAACTCTCTCATTTTATAGATGAAGAAGCCCAAGATTATACAAATAGTTAAGTAACAGAATTGGGATTAACAACCCAGATCCCTTGACTTCAAATCTAATGCTCTTTTCACTATATTACACAATAAGTTATCATTAGCCATAATAATAATTCCTAACTTCAGGCAATGATATCATTTCCACAATGTTTTCCTATGTTTGACCTCATGTGACCCACCCCACCCCAAGTGGCTGTGAACCAGAGCTTATTATTCTCATTTGCCAAGTGAAGAAAGTAAGACCCCAATAGCCTAAGGGATGTGACCAACATCACAGAACAAGTTCGTCTACCAGGCTGTCTCCTAGGCCTGGTGAGAAAACCAACTCACTCACAGGGCTTGGAGCTCTCTCCTGCTGTGAGGGGCCGCTGAGCTGAGGTCCCAAGCGCCCCATCTCTTTGGCAAGCCGATGAATCTGGGGACTTGAGCAGCAGAAAGTAACTGGAAGAAAGAAAAAGAAAGAGGAGAGAGTCTCAAAATCTCTTCCCTTTCCCTGACTCATATTTCTTTTCCACTCCCCAAAGGAGAGTACAGAAGTTGAAACAGGAAGAGATACTCACGTGGCCAGCAGGAGAACAGGGATGCCCAGCATAGAGATTAGTGTATTTTCAGGGGAAAGACCAACCAGGGTCAGACCGAGGTAGGACAAGGCCCCCAGTACTCCTGCCCCACCAGTGCCTGAGGACCACCAGGAAACCACCTCACTGAAAAGGAGACAGCCAAGAAGAAGAGATGTAGGAGCGAGA